GGAGGGAAGACGCTTCTGTATATGTTTTTATATATGTCTTATTTCTTTGGAAAATAGCACAAAATTTATAATTTATTGTGTTGGCTCTAAAGGCAGGTCCCTTGTTTATAATGTATGTTTCTCCAGAAGAAGTGGCTAAAACCTGTGGAGCTCAGTATTTTTCACACCCAGTAATTCATTTTTGTGATTTCTCCCTTACCTCTCTTGGAGAAAGTTATCTTGGTGGTGTAGTTATTGGCTGCTAACTTTTGAGCTGCAAGGTTGGCAGTTCAAACCCACCAGTCACTGCTTGGAAACCTTGTATAGGGGTGCTATGTGTAGGAATTAACTTGACAGCACTTAACAACAACTACTAGGTCAGTGACTTAAAGCCATTAGTAGATCCACAAGAAAAGGATGAGGTTACCTACTTCCATAAGATTTCCAGTCTCCTAACCCTGTAACGGGTCGCTGTAAGTTGGAAACAACTCAATGGCAGTGCTTTGGGTTTTAGTTTTCTGTCTTGGAGACCAATTGTGTTTGTGGTAAAATGAGTTCTTTTATGGCCTTTGCCTCGGTTCTTTGGAAAAATAGCTTGAGAGATTTTTTTCCCTTTGTAATCCCTGGTTGAACTGTGGGATAAACACTGGACTGCTAACTACAAAATTGGCAGTTCAAACCTACCAGCCGTTCTGGGGAGGAACATGAGACTTTCTGCTTCCACAAAGATTTACAGCCTCAGAAACCCTAAACTGGATCACTGTGAGTCAGAACCTTCTCCATGACAGTGAGTTTGGTTTTGGTTTGTAAAGACCTGAGGAGTTACCTTTACCCTAGTTTTCTACCCCACAGGTTTGGTATTTTTTGACTGGTTGACTGACGTTTCCTGCGTAACTTGTAAACAACTTGTAGTTTGATACTTTTTGTCTGTCTTTGGACTGCAACCTGCCCATTGTGCTTGATCTATTTAATATAACTTGCAGGGATTGATCAATACTTACACAAATGAAGTGACTATATCCTACTATGCAAATGAAGTGTCTATAACCTACTAAGACAGCACTGGTCAGTTTGTGACCCTGATAGGCGGGCCATGCCTTGAAATTGATGGGATGTTTACTTATATATGCTGCCAACCCCAAGAAAGAGAAGAAAAACAGAAGCAGAAAGAAGAGAGAAGCAGAGGGTGAGAGGCAGTAACACAGGTTGGGGATTGTAACACTGAAGACCTCAAGAGGCCTGGAGAGAAGCCTGCAGCAGAATTGGTGATACCAGCAGAAATTGATCACTAGGATGCAGCTCAGAGAACTAAACAAAACTGCTACAATGGCTCTCTGTATGTCAGTTAGTTGTGGAAAGGCTGGTGGGAGGGAGGCTGAAGGCACAGAGGCCTATACACCTGAAACTGTGTATGACCAAAAGTAGGCCTGTTCTGAGGGGCTGGAGAGGGGGTCTGAATTGATGAGAGGGGGAAGCGAGACAGAAAGAAGGTTCTGCTTGCTTGTCTGGCCGAGAGGAGCTCATAGAGCTGTCCTGCACTGAAGAAGAGAGGGATGTATGTGGTGTCCACTTAGGGGGAAACGCCCAGATTTTGTCTACATGTTCCCTGATCCTGAGTGATAACTTGTTACTTCCTTAATAAGCCACTAACTGTAAGTATGTTTTGTGAATTCTGTGTGGCCATTGCAATGAATTATGGAACCCAGAAGAGAATGAGAGTGCCGTGCAAGGGAGAGCTGGTGTCAGAACTGGTCAAAAGGTTGGCGAGTGGAGGTCTGTCTGACCTTCCCCTCAAAGGGCTGATCATGACTCACATTATCCCCATTGAAATTAGATAGCTTCTGGCACTACTAGTATTTTACAGAATTAAACACTGTTGATGCCAAGTGAACCATCCCCTAACCACCAAGACTGTTGAATGCTGAATGGTCATAGCTGCTGTTACTAAAAATGCCTGAGAGGTTACGCTCTTGCTCCTTATGGGCAGCTCACCACCAGTGAGCTCTAGGGGACCCATTCATGTTCCAGAGCTCCCCAACCCCACAGTTGCCTAGTTTATTCTTTTTCCCAAACTTCACTGGTTTATCCTGAGAGCATTCCCCTCCACCACTCACACACCACACACACACACACGCACTGCCTGAGTACATCACTTATCAGAATCCGTGTTTCTGGCTCTGCTTCTAAGACATCAACCAAAGAATCCACTGATGAGTAACAGCATTACTTTCTCTAAAGTTAACTGCTAGTAAGCATTTCTGACCAGCATTTGTATCAGCGTCTCCTCTGTAGTAACCTGACACCAATGAAAAAGAAAGCTATGGTGTGGGTAGACTTAGAACCGATTAGTAAATGGTTTCAAAACCAAAAAGAATATGAGATACTGACAATGCTCTATCCTCACCACCTGCAGGTATAAGGATCCAGGGCTCCCAGCCTAAATACCAATGACATAAATCACAATCCTGGACATTTTAGCTGGATTTCCTGACAGTAGGCTGAAAGCAAGACTGGCAACCAGGCCTGGGAGCAATGGTGGTGGTTATGTGCCATGGAGTCGGTTCGAACTCATAGCGACCCTGCACAGGGTTTCCGAGGCTGTAAATCTTTACAGGAGCAGAAAGCCTCATCTTTCTCCTGCAAAACAGCTGGTAGTTTTGAACTGCTGACCCTGAGCTTAGCAGCCCGATTTGTAACCACTACGCTACCAGAGCTCCTTTTGGGAGCAATGGGGATCAGAAAGACTAGAGTGGACATCAGTTGGTTTTGCTTGCCACGGCAGAGATGAGAATTATCCATTACTATAGACTGATTTGTGTCCCCAAAAAAGTTATGTGAAAGTCCTAAACCCCATACTTGTAAACACGGTACTTGGAAAAAGGCGTTTTCTCTTGTTAATGAGGCCATATCAGAGTAAACTGGGTCCTCATCTTCCTGAGTGGTGTCTTAGAAGCAGGGCAGAATAGACACAGACACACACAGGGGAAGGGCAGACACCATGTAAGGACTCACCTACAAACCAAGGGATGCAAAGAAACTCGCAGTACTAGAGATGCTGAAATAGGGGCTTGGACCAGATTTTGGGATTCCTGGCCTCTTCCTCTGACCACTAGCCTCCTCTGTTCATGGGAACTGTGGTGCTGACCTCCCAGAGTGCTCTGACGTCTTCAGAGAACATCTGTCTAGCAAGAGGTACCTTGCCTGGCACCTTCCTTTTCTTCCAAAAGAAAACTGCTGATTCAGAAAAGAGAAATGTTAATCAAGTTACAGGATATGTCTCTGAAAATGTCAAGATTGGGGTTGAAATGGCAAATGTTTTGCTATATATATTTTATCACACCCACAGTCCACATTTGGCACAATGCAGACATTGTGACTGTAGAGAGGAGGGGCTAGGAAGGCAGGGAGGAGGACGAGAAGGACAGACAGTAGAGAAAAGGAAGAGGTAAAAGAAAATAGGAGAATGGCCTCATCTTTGGAACCTTTCCCTAGAGTAAGGAGGGCGCCAGCCCCAGATAGTACTCCCTTGATCTTCCAGGGGATTAATGAACCCAGCACTCAGCCCAGGCAGGCCCAGGAGAAGGGACAAGGGGCAGGCAGTCAAGGACACCTACCTGGTGAAGCTGATTAGCATATTCACCTGGCTCAGGCACCAGCTGACCACAATGCTTTCCTGAGCCCTGCCTACTGTGCTTGCAGTTCAGGGAGTACCAGAGTTCACCTTCCCCACTCTTCCCCCTCTGTTGTTGTGAAGTGATATCAAATAGGTTCCGACTATAGGGTTCCCAAGAAGCAGGTGGTGAGTTGGAACCACTGACCTTGTGATTCAAACCGATCTTGTGGTCCACTGCTTTATCCCACAGCACCACACCAGTACTTCCTTTTCCATGTCTCTGGGGACAAGCCTCCAAAGTGAGGAGCTTCAGGTAGCCAAAGGTCATCACACTTGGCCATCACATGCCATGAGGTTAGTCCTGACATTACTGTGCATCCGGCGGCACCCCTTGTACACAAGGAGCATTCCTTCCTCTCCTGTGTCAGCTGCATGTCTTATCCTGTGCACAGATCAAGGAAGGAAAAGTGCATGCTTCCAATCAGCAGGGCCCCAGCAAGCCAAGCCATTCTGCAGGGATTCCAAAGTCACAAAAAAGGAGCCGAGAGCTCATCATTTACCCACCTTTATTTGAAGGAGCTCTGGTAGCATAGTGGTTACGAATCGGGCTGCGGACCTTAAGGCCAGTAGTTTGAAACTACCAGCCGCTCCGTGGGAGAAAGATGAGGCATTCTGCTCCTGTAAAGATTTACAGCCTCGGAAACCCTGTACAGGGTTGGAACCGACTTGACGGCACTTAACAACAACAACAATTTGAAGAGTACACCATGCTGACCCAAGGGATCTCTGCCCTTCAGACTGCATTCATCAGTCTCCCTGTGTTATTATTTGCTCTACCCAGTGCTCCAAATATGCCTCTTCAAAGCCACTCTTAATGCAAAATAATCAAACTACCAAATAAACTGAAGTCAAACATCACACGATCAAGCCTAAACAGGAAGATAACACTCTCCTGTTTTTATTTTTATCAAATTTCACAAGATCATTTCATTTATTAAAATTTCTGTAAACTCTTTCAGAATAATACAATTCACATTCCTTGCTGGAGTAGCATTTCAAGTGGAAGTACTTTTATTTCAAGGCACCATAAAATGACGGTCTTTCTAAAGAAAAAAACCTCTGTTTCCATGTGCAAAAGTCCTTAAAAAACAAAACAAACCAAAAAAACTGGCAAGGTGATCACCCTGTCAGAGGGAGCGGAAAGCTAATGTCCATCAATGCAACTGTGCACATCAGGACACATGCGATAGTTTGATTTCACTGTAACTGGCGACCTCAAAGTGGATCCCCGATGAGGTCCCCAAAGGACAGAGAAATAAGCTGAACACTTATAATCAGAAAGAGGCAGTGGGGCATGGACCCCATAGATATCATGTAAACGCGGCAGTGTTGGCGTCTCTCTTCCACTTCACTTCTCTTTCTCGTTTACGTTGGCATCCTTCTGCAGTGTGGACTTCAGCTTGTTCTGCAGAATAGCCGTCAGCTTTTTGGACGTCTTTTTGAGAAGAGTGCTGCCGGGATGGGCATTGTTCACATGAAGGTACAGATCCTCCTGAGTGGGACCTGTGTAGCCGCAGTCTTCGCAGACGTACAGCTTGTCCCGGCGTTGCTTGTATGCATACTGCTGCTGCACTCCATGAATCTTCTTCAGGTGGGACTCGAGCGAACAGCGCTGGGTGAAAGCTTTACTGCAAACGTCACATTTGTAGGGGCGAATGCCTGCAAGGATGAAGACAGATACATCACTGGTTAGTCACAATTGTGTCAGAGCTGCCAACTAGGAAGTCTCTAGAACTTATCATGGCCCAGGATCCACTGCATTGTGAAAAAAATGATTAAAGTAAGACACAAAATTGTCTACAATGGAGAATAACATTCATGTGAGCAAATATTACAAAATTTATTGTGAATATGGCAAAAAAAAAAAAAAAAAAAGGATGCCTGGATTTGGGCGGAAGATTTTTATCCTTCCCATTTCTGTGCCTTGTTCTTGTTTGCTGTCGAGTTGGTTCTGACTCATAGTGACCCTGTATAGGATTTCTGAGGCTGTAAACCTATGGGGGTGGAAAGCCTCACCTTTCTCCTGCAGTGGCTGTGGTGGAAGCGAACCACTGACCTTGTGGTTAACAGTCTAATGCATAACCCAGTAAGCCACACCAGAGCTCATTTCAATGCTTCAGTGTTTTAATTTTATAGTGGGTTTTTATTTGAGTGCATTTTCCTGAAAACAGACCTTGAGGTGAAGAGTCCAGTATAAGTACTTTACATGATGATCCCAGTACAAACCAGCAGGGTAATGAAGAAACATGGAAAGCGATGGCAGCCAACACAGATAACTTGGTGTTACCAAGTCAGTTCCTGCTTTGGGTAACTGGAGTTCAATCCTGCTGGGAGCCATGGGAGGCAGTGTAGGGCACACACTTCTTTTTTTTTTTTTTAATATTTTATTGAGAATTATGTGATAGAACATTAGTTTTACATTCTTCCTATCGTATATTGTTTCACTGCCATAGTTACAATCCCCTCCATGCATCATCAACCAACCTAAGGGTTAGGACACACACTTCTGTGTAATTCTGCCTCTTGGAAGCTGGGGTATTTTGTCCACAAGCGCTGTCAGTCACTGTCTGAATCGCCCTCCTCAGGACTTATGGCCTTGCATGGACAGAGGCAGTCCCTTAGACAGAGTTGCAGTTCAACTTGGACAGGTATGCCCATAAATGGCCATGGTGAGGGGATGGATGGGGCACTGACAGCATTGCCCACAACTATGAAAACATTTTCAAACTAGATCTTGTACTGGTTTTAGAATATGGTTAATATTAGTGAAGGAGTGTCAAGATGCAAATGGTTAACATGCTTGGCTACTAACTGATAAGTTACAGGTTCAAATTCATCTAGATCGACTTCTAAAAATGAGTCACAGAAAACCCTATGAAGCAAAGTTCTACTCTGATCAACATGGGGTTGCCGTGGACTGGAGTTGACTTGACAGCGACTGGCTTAATCTCAGTGAGGATAGGATGAACTAGATGAGTAGTTCATATGCATCATATAGAGTAGGGAGTTTAGTCGTTTTTCCTTCCATCATTGGAAGGTCACAACTCTGTAAGGGCAGAATTATGTCAATGAACTTGAACAGTATTTTACAAATTGGATGAAGCCTTTAGAATTACTTGAAAGTTTACTGTTGTTCTTGTTAGGTGCCATCGAGTTGGTACTGACTCATAGCAACCTTATGCACAGCAGAATGAAATAGTGCCCGATCCTGAGCCAATCTCACTACTGTTGCCACACTTGAGTCCATCGATGCTGCCACTTGGCCAATCCATCTCATTGGGGGTCTTCCTCTTTTTCTCTGACCCTCCATCTTAC